ATTTAGGATTTCAGTGCTTGAATATTCCATTTCAAGGAATTAACAATGAATTGCATGCTTTTTTAAACTTCCGTTTAAGAGGGCCATATTTGTTCAGATATTAATAGGCCACATCAGATTACCTCAATTTCTAGTCTGATTATGAGCACAAAAGTAATTGAAAATTAAAGTATTTTTACTGGGACTATCATAAGCTGCCAATGTGCCATAGAATATGAGCAAAACTTTTAAAATATTTGCTATATTTTCTCTTTAAAAATAATAATACTATGTGAGCAACACAGAATATGTCACACTGAAATTTATCATAATTTAGAACGATAACTTAATTTGGATAGGAAGGTGGGAAAAATAGTGAGTATGATTATTACTACCTTAAATTTTTTCAATCCTTTCAAGTCCAAAGATCATAAATAGTATTTCCTGGTCAGCCTCAATATTATATTTGATGTCTATATAATCTTGAAAAATATGAGCTGTCTGACTCTTGATGCCTATGTGAGCATGTGTGTGTGTGTGCGCACGCGTGTGTGAAGGACTAGAAGGATCCTTATAGGGCTAGGAAGGCCTGGGTTTAAACCTACTTTCATTACTCCCTGCCTTGAGAACAAGTTAAAAATCTCAGTGCCTCGTTTTTCTCATCTATAAATTGGGCATGATTTGTGCATTTTCTTGGATTCTTGAGAGGATTAAAGCTAGAATAAATGTACAGTGGAACACACCACTGGACACAGGAAGCAGCACTCTGATTCTCACTTACTGTCTATCACTCTGCCTAACATCTTGCAAATGAGCACAGGGGACACCAGTCAACAGAGAACAATCAATAATCTAAAGCTGAGTTCTAAACCTTAGCAAAGTCTTGGAAGGGCACATGAGCATACCACACTTACAGGTCAAATAGCAGCATACCAATCTTCAAACCCATTTCACAGGACAGATGACAGAATAAATACAGTGATGAAACCAATGTTGTTTCCAATAAATGGTTCTCAGGGCCACAGAGAGGTAGCAAATCAAAACTGATTTTCTAGAATAACAAAGGGCATCGTATGCACTCCTAACTTGTGCTTCCAAGTTCCTTAGCTGCACACGTGTTTCTAAGGGGCTGTCCCCAAAATACTGAGTCTAACATAAGATATCTGATGCTACTGTACTTTTTCAAAATCTATTGGCTTATCCTTTGCAAAAACGTACACAACCACTGTGAACTGGACAATGCTGAGGTATTTCAAACATACGTACAAAAACACAGAAGACAGTAAAGAGCTCTCCTCAACCAACACCTTCAAAAGAAGAACATTTTTTCTCACATCATCAAATGAACTCAAACTGATAAAGGTGGGCATGAATATGGGATGCTGATGACTTTAATTTTTTTCCTCTATCACACAAAACTGCACATTGAGATTTTTTTTTCTTGTCAATGAATGCACCCAATTCATGTGTCATTTAAGTGTCATGGGGATATAGGTGTAGTAACTTACAGAAATGCCAAAACATGTTTTCCCTTTTCCAAAAGTCCAGAACAGAGATGTGGTGTGCTTACCACTGCTCTTAAAGGCTCAAATACCCATGTAATTTGGCAATCTTTAACCACTGCTGAACACCGAAGTACAACTAAATAACTACAGGGGGAAAAAGCTCTACTTTCAAACTAAAGGAGAAAGATGTTGTATGCAGTTGTAAATACATGTAACAGATGTGACCAGGGCTGATCTCACAAGTTCTTTAGTATCATTTTAGTAGCCCCACTGTAGCCCTAGCTGGCCTAGAACTAACTATGTAGACCAACTTTAAAAAGATTTTTTTTTTTAAGATATCAACACTAGTATGTTTATCATTTGTTCTGAAAGACTCAAACTTAATCAGATAAACTATACATTTTGTTAGGTCAGAAAATTAAGCCTCTACTCATCAGAATGCACATGTGCTTTCCTTTGGTAAAACTTTATCAACCTCCTTTTAATGAGAACAATTTTCCAAGCATGCAGACATGTGGGTGCTCTTAGTTTGTTTGAAGATCAATGATGTAACAGATATCAGATAGTGTTGTATACATTACCATATAGGTTATAGCTATTTCTTAAAATAATTCCATAGCCCACCAAGCCTCCAGTTGAGGTCATGGAAGCTCTGGTCCATCATGGCTGAATTGCTTTACTGCTTTCTGCTGAACACCTGCAAACATCAAACAAAAACTGCTGGTCCTTTCCTGGGTTGACAAAAGCCTTTCATGTGAAAAATGCTCCCTGGGACTGTCAGGCTGTAGCTCAGGTTACATTCCATTCACCCTAGCAGCCACACTATTTCTTAAGGTGGTAGGAAAATCCATGTTTGTAGAATGAAAGATTAAAGAGAATCTGGCCACACTCTTTTCATTCTCACGCTGCAAATCACGACAGAGCATCAAGCATTAATGGAATCAACAACTATTGAGATCTTAAAGCATGAAATATTACCAGACCTCATTTTGAAAAAATTAGAGCTGATCTATCAAATTAGAATAGTTTACTCATAGTTCAGATCTCTTTTCTGGATCCAAGTTTCAAAGTGATATCTGAGTCCACTCAGAAGAGTGAATATGAACTTGAAGTTAACTTTAGAAAATTTCTCTAGCCAAAGTTACCTACTTCATTCTTATATTTAAAGGGCAAAGTATAGTTTTCACTGTTTTTGTTCTGTTTTATGCCTTAAAAGAGATGTATGTCTTTTACTACATAGAAATATAAGGTATTTTCTTCACTGATAGCCATGTGTTCTGGTAAGTCTTAATAAAGAAAACTAACATTCCAGTCTGCAGCCTCTATATATTCCAGGCACCATCCTCCTGCACTGAATGAATGCCCTGCATTTTCAATCAGGCAGGCAGGATAAAAGAGCTCCTACACTACTTTACAATAAACATCTGGTCCTGAAAACCACACCACTGGTACAACATAGCTTTAAAGTTCAACACCTTGAAGATAATCCCTGAATATTCATTAGAAATATCCTAACAGTTCAGTAGGGATGAAGTCTCTCTCTAGGCTTATATATCTACAAACATACACACACACACACACACACACACACACATACACACACACACCTCTACCTATACATCATTGTCTGAACAGCCATAAGTTTTGCTATGATTACTTACCAAAATGTGCTAATACATATTCAACTAATTCATTCTACACTGTCTATAAACATACACCTAAGATTTATAGCAAAAACTTTAACTAAATGTGAACACAGAAAAGTAAGATGGATAATACAAGTGTCTTTTTAAATTTTATATACTTCATACTTCTAATTCACCTTAATTTGTTAAATCATAGCTAAAGTAATACATTTATGTCATTCCAAATATCCATCTTTACAACACTGCAAAGCGGTAGTTCACACTATTTTGAAAGTAGTCCATCTCTGTGCCTGCCTGACAACTACTTTTAGATTTCAACTGCATACACACGTACACATTTCTTAAGTAAAACATGAAGGAAAATACTACCAGAGGTAAATTTTGATGGCATCTAACAGGAAAAACGAATTTGTCTACAAAAAACACTTGTCACTACCTTTACTTATGGCATTCATATTAATATTTTCTCTTACAAGTTCTAAAAGAATATCATATGGAAATTCAGAAGATATAACAGACCCAAAAAAAAAAAAAAAAAAAGAAGGTTAAGCCTTGAAATGGAAACAGTAACAGGATCCAGAATGATGAAGCAGACATATTTGCAACAATACATTTAATCAAAGCTGACCCTAAAAATATTAAGGTATAACTAGAGGAAGCATCACATATTTGTAAATCACATTAAAGAGATGAATATTCCCTAAACGTATGGGAGCCAGTAGAAGTAACTGACTTGGAAACCAGTAAGTTTTAAAAGCCATTAATTTTATTAAAACACACCAATTACACAAATCACATAGGTAAACAGATTTCTTTCACTGATATTGCACCAGATGAAAAGATGAGAAATTACATTCAAAGCTGATAGAAAATTGCACTGGCATCGCACAGCTAAAAGATGTCAACATTTACCAGTCTGACTTAAGAACAGTACTGTCTAATGTACTATTATATACCATTGCCAGAACTCTTAAAGTGCTGCAGCTGTGTAACAGGCCATCAATGGATTTAAGCCCTAGACCTAAAGGATAGCAGGCAACAATGTATAACTCCTTATTTAAAACTCATTGGCCAAAAAAGAAATGCATTTTAAATAAACAGCGCATTTTCAGTCTCCACTTTTAATAAGAGACACTCAAACAGCCCTGTATTAAAAACTCCTCCTCAGATGTCAGATAATCATTGTGCACACAGAGTCCTTTGTGAATACCGCTGCCTTTAAAAAAAAAAAAAAAAAGCATCACCTAAAGATTTCTCATTTATAAAATGGTCTCTCAAAATCTGCTACTTTAAATACACAAAAATTCATAGCACAAGTCAATGACGGAAATGAAACAGCTCAACATTCACAGGATATTTTAAAGATAAATGAATTCCTATTTAGCCTCAGATCAGCATGAGACTATTTACAACTATAGTTTGCTACACAACATTTGTCCTGAAAATTAGGTGCTTATTTCTTTAAAAGAGTTAACCATACACAGTACCTAATAATTGAAATTATTTGCTCTTTTTATGAAAGTTAGAGTTTTTCCCTCTATTTTCAAATAGAGAACATTAATTTATTCTCCCATCTTATTAACACTGGTCTTATCGTCACATGTTTGATTACAACTATATTAGAAAACCACTTTTAAATCAAGTGATGGAATTCTGAGGCGGTTTTCTTGATTTAGAAAAAAGGTCTCATTTTAATTTTGAAAGATAACATTTTGTGTGAGTTGTGCTGCTGATGCATAATGAGATAACTACATTATCATAGGCGAAAATTCAATGACTTCTTTCAGAACACTTCAACAGAGCCAAAAATATACAAAGAGTAAAGAAACAAGAACATTTTAACTTCACACCAAGAAAAAAATTTACATACTTGAGCCAGTAAAATGTCCACTCGCCAAAGAAGTTGGTCCATTTTTCCCACTGCTCACAGGAGGTGAAAACATCTAAAAGAAACAAAGAAATATCACAGTTGAAAAGAAGACAATTGTGGTTTCAGAGTTCATCAAAGATCTTTCACACTCTTACCAAATAACTTGGAGTTAATGCTAAGGTTTTATTTAGTAAAACACACCACCATCCAACTTAAAACTAACCCAGGCACCTCATTCCAGACCCCCCTCTCCATTACCACTGTTCTTCCTTTCCTTCTCCTCGGGTAACTTAGATTGCCAGGCGGTTCTACTACATTGTGAACACAGTCCCCACAGCGTTTGCAAGACATGGAGTGGGGGACAGCAGCCTTTCTAGAAAATACTAGTTCAACAAAGAAGAAAAAGTTGTTTGTTTTAAAATACTGAAAACCTTGACCATAAACGTGGTAATGTCCATTTCCATCCTGTATAGGATTTGCTGTCACATGTGAACCCAAATAAAAATATAATGCCACCTGCACTAAATTCTCATTCTGCCTCTAACATGAGAGCAATTAAAGCCTCTCTCTCTCTCTCTCTCTCTCTCTCTCTCTCTCTCTCTCTCTCTCGTCTCTCTCACTCTCACTCTTTCACTCCCTCTCTCTCCAGCATTTATTTCAACACTAATTGGCTTCCCTCTTTTCCACGTATCTAGTGCACTTGCACACCTTCCCTGAGTCCCTGAGTCAGAGCCCGCAAAAAAGCAAAAGAACAAATGGAGAAAGTGCAGCAAGCGGAAAGGGGGCTGCAAAGCTGCCTATGGCTACGCTTCCTGGCAAAACTTCCGAAAGCCATTTCTCCAGGTCTACAAGAGGAGCAGTGGTGGCAGCCAGCGGCAGCGGCGGCGGCGGCGGCGGCAGCAGCAGCAACAGCAGCAGCAGCGGCAGCGGCAGCGGCGGCGGCGGCGGCGGCGGCGGCTGCGGCGGCGGCGGCAGCAGCGTGATAGAGCCCCACTTAAAGGCGGTTTGGGTTTTGTGTGTTTTGTGGACTCTTTTTCTTTTGCTTTACAAATGCATCTTAGACCAAACTCATCTGGCATTAAAAATGAATTCATGCCCCTGACATGTCTGGAACTCGTGCAGGAACGGAGAGCAATAGGGGATGGAGAAGAAACAAGTAGAGTCATAACACTCCACAAGTGTTTAAGTTCCTCTTTGTACTGATCAAGGCTGAAATTTACTAAAACAGTCTAAGAGGCTCTAAAAAATGGGCATTTGATTAGGAGTTTGAACCCCACAGAAAGAGGCAACAAGGAGGTAGCCAGACAACCAAAGTCCTAATAACCCATACCATCATCAGTCTCAACTTCAGAGACAACTGGGTCTCCAATTTTCTAGGTTCCATTTCGAGAAAACAATAAGATGTGGAGTGGTACACAAAGTTATCGTACACTAGTGTTCAGCCAACTTTTGGGTGTACTTTGCAGTTTAGAAGGGTGTCTGATTTTTCTTTCTACTGGAGATTCCATTATTTAGGGAAATTGGTGGGTAAAGAATTCAAGGAATTAAAAGGAAGCCTGAGTCTTCCATCATATCCCAAAATTAGTTTAAAAAAAAAAAAAAAAAACTTCCAAAAAAGACCTATTTACCAAGGATTCAGCCAATTGAAAACTATCCCTGTCCTTCAGATTACAACGGGTTTCTAGTTGAAGTGTTGGGGTGGGGGTGGGGGGATTTTATTTTTATTTTTCACAGCTGTTGTTAGTTTCCACCGTTCTTACCGCACTGAAATCCAGTAAATCACTCAGCTCTTTGTCCGTCCCTAAGGCAGCCATTCGCTGTTGGTGATGCATTTTAGCAAAATCACACAAACCTAGAAACATGGAAATAACCGCAATCAGAAAATCCAGTCCCAATCCTTGGAGAAAACACAATCGGATTTTTGGAGACGGGGGGGTTGGGGGTTGGGATGTAGGGGGCGGGTGGGATTAGGGTGGAAAAGGAGGGAGGGATGGGAGAGTTGTTGTTGGGTTTTGTTTTGATTTTTTTTTTTTAGTTGTTTTTTTTTTTTTTGTGTCCCCTTCCACTCTTAAAAAAAAAAAAAAATAGCGAAATTGTATTTCCAAAGAGACGATCAAACTAGTAACATCCACTATAAAACCAACTGAGAAAGAGGGGGGAGCCGCTCTGCAGCGCATCAATTTATGCAACAGGAGGTAGAGCGAGAAATGAATGGATCACAGAGAAAAGAGAAACTACTCGCAACGATCCGGTCTCAACTTTACCCCCACCCTCCACCCCACCCCCTCACACGCACACACTCACGCGCGCACACACTTGCATACACTCGCACCACTCCCCTCCTGCCCTGCAAAGTAGCTTTAAAGAAATTAAAGACGAGCGTCTCGGAGGGAAATCCGTCCGCAGGGGGCTGGGTACCCAGGGAGGGGGGAGCAGAGTGAAGGCTCGGGGTCGAGCAATTGTCCCGCCCCCCTAATTTGTAAAAGAAAGGGTTGTAAAAAAAAAAA